AAAAAAAAAAAAAAAAAAAAATTAGCCAGGCATGGTTGTGCGTGCCTGTAAACCCAGCTACTAGGGAAGCTGAGCCACAAGAATCGCTTGAACCTGGGAGGCATAGCTTGCATGCAGTGAGCCAAGATCATGCCACTGCACCCCAGCCCGGGCAATGAAGCAAGACTCCATCTCAAAAAAATAAAAATAAATTTAAAAAAACTTTAAAAGCTTTTTAATCATTCCAAAAACAAAAAACAAAGCAATGTACAGATTCAAGGCAATCTGTATAAAAGTTCCAAGAGCATATTTTATAGAAATAGAAAAACAACAATAGAATTTACATGGAATCACAAAAGGTCTGGAATAGCCAAAAACAATCTGGAGAAAGAGCAAAGCTGGATATACCACACTTCCTGATTTCAAAATACAACATTATAGTATGAAAACAGTATGGTACTAGCAAAGGACAGACATATATCCTGGCTACTTGGGAGGCAGAGGCAGAAGGATTCCTAGAGTCCAGGAGTTTGTGGTTGCAGTGAGCTATCATGGTGTCACCACACTCTAGTCCAAACAACAGAGTGAGACCCTGTCTATTTTAAGACAGACATAAACCAATGGAACAAAATAGAATCTGAAAATCAACTCCTGCATACAGTCAACTGATCTTCAACAAAAGTACTAAGAATACACAAAGGGGAAACAATAATCTCTTCAATAAATGGTGCTGGTGAAGCTGGATTATCTACATGCAAAAGAAAACGAAACCCTTATCTTATACCATACACAAAAATCAACTCAAAATGTATTAAAGATTTTATATGTAAGTCCCCAAATTGCAAAACTAGAAGAAAACAGGAAAAGCTTTATGACACTGGTCTTGGAAATGATTTCACTGATATCATGAAAAGCTACATTAGTGGAGCTACATCGAACTAAGAAGCTACTGCACCATAAAGTAAGCAATCAACAGAGCAAAAAGGCAACCTCTGGAACAGCTAAAGAATGGGAGAAAATAACTGCAAACCATTTATCTGATGGGGGTTGATTTCTAGTATATTGAAAACTCCTTTAATTCAATAGCAAAAAACCTAATAACTTGACAAGAAAATGGGCTCAAGACTTGAATAGACTTCTTCAAATATGAATAGCCAACAGGTATATGAAAAGATGCTCAAACATCACTAATCATCAGGGAAATGTAAATCAAAACCACAATGAGATATTACCTCACACCTCTTAGAATGGCTACTACAAAAAAAAAAAAAAAAAAAAAAAAAAAAAATAGAGGAGGAAGCTGAAAGAAAAAAAAAAAGAATCAAAAAAAAAAAAAAAAAAAAAAAAAAAAAAAAACAACAAAAAAAGCAAAAAAAAAAAAAAAAAAAAAAAAAAGACAACAAGTATTGATGAGGATGTGGAAAAATTGGAACCTTGCTACACAACTGATGGAAAAGCAAAATGGTATACAGCCACTACAGAAAACAGTAAGAAGTTTCTTCAAAAAATTAAAAATAGAACTACCGTGTGATCCAGCAAACCCACTTCTGGTATTTATCTAAAAGAATTAGAGTCAGCATCTCAAAGACATATAAGCACTCCCATGTTCACTGTAGCACTTACTCACAATAGCCAGATTGTGAAAATATCCCAAATGAATCTACCAGTGGATTAACGAACAAAGAAAATGTGATATATACATACAATGGCATATTATTCAGCCTTAAAAAATTGGGAAATCCTGCCATATGTAACAACATGGATGACCTTAAAGGACACTGTGTGAAATAGCCAACCACAAAAAGAGAAATAACTGTATGATTCCACTTATATGAGGTATCCAAAGCAGTCAAATTCACAGAATCAGAGTACAATGGTGGTTTCCAGGAAATGGGTGCTGGAGGAAATGGGAGTTGCTAATCAACAGGTATAAAGTCTCAGTTATGCAAGGTGAATATGTTCTAGAGATCTACCTATGTTTTATAGGTACAACACTGTCCCTATAATTAACAATACTGTGTTGTGCACTTAAAATAGTTAAGATGGTATATATCTCATGTAAGTGTTCTTACAACAAAATAAAGAAAACAAAAACACTAATGATGAAGAAACAAATTTTGAAATATACATAAGAGATTATAATTCTAGTTTTAGATACTTCATTAACTCCATGTACTACTGGATAAGAAATCTGAAAAATTATATGCCAAGAAACAGTATTATACAAATGACTTCTTAAAAGTATAAGGTAACTTTCTAGACACTTTCCTTAAAATAGTTTCAGATTTACAGATGAAACATTGATAAGCTTGGCATACATACAATGAACTACCTGGCACAAAGGTTCAGAACTCTGCTGTAGTCCCCTTCGGCAGTCTGGAAAAGCCTGTTAGACTACTTTTAGAATGTTTCTTTAAAAAATGTGTAAAACATACTACATGGGATTATAACAGAAGCCAATTATACTGAATAATGGTTATCAGACTATTTAAAATATGGTAGAACACTAAGGACTTATTAACTTGTTCAGTAACAAGGTGTAGTGATATTACTTAGTAACTCATAATTTCCAAAAAGGTGATAAGCATAACCAGTATTTTGAGATACTAGTAACAACTTATGTAATATGAAAATATTTGTGATTTCTACTGGTGACAGTGTCACAGGCAATGCTGTTACTACTGTGATCTCTCGCCTATATGATGGTAGGAAACAGCTCTTACCTGGATTATTTCTGGAGCTACTTGCAAGGAGGGCAGGTATTCTTGTTGAAGATACTGAACACATTCTGGGCCCTGAAGATTAAAAGATACTTAGAACTATTTTCTTGCTTGACATTAATAAGCTTAAAAAGAACAGGAAAACTACATGTACACTTTAAAAGCAACATAGTTTGTGCTTAATAACACAAACTCGAGAACCAGACTGCCTTGGTTTGAAGTCTGGCTCTGGCAACTTTCTAGTAACTTGGGCAAGTTACTTAACCTCTCTGAGTATCAGTTTTTCCATCTGAAAAATAAGGTTCTTGGCCGGGCACAGTGGCTCATGCCTGCAATCCCAGCACTTTGGGAGGCCGAAGGTGGTGGATTACTTGAGGTCAGGAGTTCAAGACCAGCATGGCCAAATGGTGAAACACCATCTCTACTAAAAATACAAAAAAATTAACCAGGTATCGTGGTGCATGCCTATAATCCCAGCTACTCAGGAGGCTGAGGCAGGAGAACTGCTTGAACCCAGGAGGCGCAGGCTGCAGAGAGCCGAGATTGCACCACTGCACTCCAGCCTGGGTGACAGAGTGAGAGACTCCAGCTCAAAAAAAAAAAAAAAAAAAAAAATCATTCCATCTCTCCTCAATGTACTCTTCCTTGCACTGACACCTGGATTTTCTGTTTATATTAGTGCTCCTGAATCAAAGGATTTGTTTCCTCCTTCACCTTGGATCTAGGTCATAGATTAATGACCCATCAGAGGAAACCTGTCTTTATTTGAGAAGCAGAAACCCTGCACTGTTTCCCAGATCCCTCCTACCTTCCTTGTCATCTTTTTCTTGTGTCTACCCTGTCTATGCTTGCTTCCTATGCATTGTTCATCACCTTGTAACCTCACTGTTATCACTTTAAGAGTGTAGTTTTGTTTTGAATCAGGAAAAGTAAACTTGTACCTCAAGTCAGTCAAAAGAATGAGAAAATAGAACAATGAAGCAAAACATTTTTTTTTTGTTTTTGAAACAAAACACTTTAAAATATAGTATTGTCTGACTCAACTCTGTGTGTTTAAATTAAGACTTCTATGGGTACAAAAAATACTGCTCAACTAGAAATACCATCCTTACTATTCCTTTTCATCCTTCATCCACATCCACCTTGACTGTCTAGCATCCAAATAATGCCATCCAATCTCCTGAGACTCTCTTCCCTTATTTTTGATAACACTCCTACCTCTAGTTCTGCTTTTTCGTTTTGTTTTTTTTTGAGATAGAGTTTCGCTCTGTTGCCCAGGCTTGAGTACAGTGGCCCAATCTCAGCTCACTGCAACCTCACCGCCTGGGTTCAAACAATTCTCGTGCCTCAGCCTGCCAAGTAGCTGGGATTACAGGCATGCATCACCACTCCTGGCTATCTGGTTCTCTTTCTACCTTTCTGTTGACTCTAGCTTGAGCCGAGGTTCTTTCTGTTCTGGTCTTAGAAAGTCTTAGTCATTCCCGTGGCTTTACAGACTGACTTACACTGAGGACTCCAAAATCAGTATTTAGTTCTAACTGCTTCAGACCCATTGTTTGGAACATTTTCCCTCTTAAATTACAAACCCACTACCTACTGACTTCCCAACTTTACACATGTAACACAAGGCTTTTAACGTAGTCTCATCTTATTTTTAGCTATCACTTCTGCCTCTATTCTTTAGCTAAACAGGATTAACTCTATAATGGCCCACCAAATCCACCATGCGACATCTGTTCTGTCTTTGTACACCAACTTAACTTTGCCCAGAATGCCAGCTTCCTGTTAGTCCCATCAATCTACATTTATTTATCTTAAGGGCCATCAAAAATATCACCTCTTTCCTATAGCTTGCTTAGACTGACCCCTTAGGCAAAATTGCCTGTTCAGCTTTAGTTCCATAGCATTTTATATGTCTCCACTAAAGTACTTAACCCACTGGAGTTTTTTATCTGTTGGCCTCCCTTGATTCTGAGATCCCTGATATCAGGGGATGCTTCATGCATCTTTATGCAGTTACCCTGCCGTCCCTAAACAGACACCTACCCTACCCTAGCACGTAGCAAGTGTAGAATAAATGCTGCTAAATTGAAAACACTTCCAGTCTCTATCAAAATCAAAAAATCAAGTTCAAATGAGTGCACAGCCTGAATGGAGAACAGTGAGCAAAAGTTCATGTTCTTTTTAGGAGGTGAGGGGAACTACTGCTCTTTAGCTGGCTGTAGCTATGTGGTAATACCAGTCCTGTGCTGGCATTTTATGGCTTTGAGAGAAGTTGGAGGCAGGAATTTTCGGTTAAAAAAAGTATTTGAGAGTTTAAAATGCTGGCAACCAATTCCAGTTATTTATAAATACCCAGAATCTGCCGAGCATGGTGTAATACCAGCACTTTGGGAAACCAAGGCAGGAGGATCGTTTGAGCCCAGGAGTTCAAGACCAGCCTAGGCACAATGGTGAGACCCCATCTCTACAAAACCACAAAATTAGTTGGGTGTGGTGATGGGTGCCTGTAGTCTCAGCTGTTCAGGAGGCTGAGGTGGGAAGAGCCAGAAGGTTGAGACCGCAGTGAGCCAAGATCATGCCACTGCACTCCAGCCTGGGCAACGAAGAGAGACCCTGTCACAAAAAATAAAGTAAAATACATATTTAAAAAATAACCAAGGCCGAACACAGTGGATCACGCCTGTAATTCCAGCATTTTGGGAGGCCAATGCAGGTGGATCACTTGAGGTCAGGAGTTCAAGACAGCCTGGCCAACATCATGAAGCCCCATCCCTAAAAAAATATAAAACTTAGCCAACCTGAGTGACAGGGTGAGAATCTGTCTCAAAAAATAAAAATAAAAAATAGGCTGGGAGCAGTGGCTCACGCCTGTAATCCCAGCACTTTGGGATGCTGAGGCAGGTGGATCACTTGAGGTCAGGAGTTCGAGACCAGCCTGGCCAACATGGTGAAACCCCGTCCCAGCTAAATATAAAATTTAGCTGGGCATGATGGCAGGCGCCTATAATCCCAGCTACTAAGGAGGACGAAGCAGGAGAACTGCTTGAACCTGAGAGGCAGAGGTTGCAGTGAACCAAGACTGTGCCACTGCATTCTAGCCTGGGCAACAAGAGCAAAACTGTCTCAAAAAAATAAATAAAAATAAAAATAAATTAAAAATATAGTATTGAGGAAGCCTACAAGATCATGAAAACTGGTCAGGCATGGTGGCTCACGCCTGCAATCCTAGCACTTTGGGAGGCCGAGGTGGGTGGCTCACCTGAGGTCAGGAGTTCAACACCAGCCTGGCCATCATGGAGAAACCCCATCTTTAAAAAAAAAATTAAAAAATAATAATAAAAAAATATCATGAAAACTGAATCTTTAAATTCTGGCTAAGATTTTTCACATCCTTAGTCAACCCAAAACATGTTTCCGAAAACATGAACGACAATAAAAGGATACTGCTACTTTCATTCATCCTCTTCCCCACATCCAAAAAAGTCAAAACAATAGTTAAGTTTTACACAGTGTATTGATAATGAAGCGCAATTTAAAAAAAAATAAAATTTTTTTTTAAAAAAGGAATTTTATATAAGATACATCTTTCAAGAACCAAGATAATAATACCACATGTGAGATGACAATGACAGGGCATGGACTACAAGCCTTACCCGTTTGAGATGAATTGTTTTCAGTGTCACTGCACACTCAGATAAAGCCTGTGAAAAACAAGTTTATGAATTTTCATGTACTCAATTCTTGTTTAGTGATCCAGCTCTTTACTACCCTGGCCACTGCCAGGGCAATTCAAATAAATGAGAAATATTTAACTCCAGAAAAGGGATAGAAGAAAGAAAGATAACAGGCAGGTGGACTAAGTGGGTTGAATTTAAAAAAAAGAAAAAAACAAAAATACAAACTGTTGTTTTAATGTAGTCAATTACAATTATGAAATCTAGCTTTTACTAGGTTGTGGGAAAGTGAGAAAGCAGAAACTGACATTAGGTACTGTGAAAATAAGAACTAGGGAAACTATCACACAAGGAGGATCAAGTTGCCATTCTGGGCTCTTAATGATTATAGAAAACCACTAAGTGCACGTTTTAGAATTAAAGTAGTAGTAGGAAACTAATACTCCAGCTTGAAAGAATGTTTGTGCCATATGCCCTTTCATGGTCCTAGAAAAAAATCATGTGTTGAAGCAGCTGATGAATTTGTAAAATTCAGCTGTGGCATTGGGATTGAATAAGAATCCATAAAAAATCCAGAAGGTGTCAATTTTTTAAAAAATGAACCTGATCTGAAATCACTAAATTTAAAAAAAAAAAAAAAAAAAAAAAAAAAAAAAAAAAAAAAAAAAAAAAAAAAAAAAAAAAAAAAAAAAAAAAAAAAAAAAAAAAAAAAAA